ATGCTGAGTGAGGTATCTCAGTCACAAAGGGACAAATGCTGTATGGTGCCACTGTTGTAGAATGAGGCTGGCATTGGGGTGGGGGTAAGACTGAGAAAAACTTGATGAAATATGTTTACGGCATTGAAGTCTATGGGGGAGAGAATAGTCTAAAAGAATAGTCTACAAGCAAGTTTTAATACCATGTAGTTTCGCCTGTGATATTACCACCTTTGAACTGCAGTCCCTGTGTGGAAATGGTATCATTGCTTCACCATAATTTCATCCTCAAGGTCCATGTCATGGGATAAGATTATAGTGAAGTAATGCTATAAAGAAATTGTGTCACTATTTGCAGACTAGTTCCACAGGATTGCCGTATACCCATTTTCTCCAAGTGGCAGGCATATTAAAGGAAATAAGATTATATCCAATGTGCAACAACACCAATTCCAGAATATATATATGAAAACGGATCTGGTTGTTCAACATCTTTATGCAAAATGAAATTCCACAGTCAAATTATAGATTGAAAATAACATTTGCATTAGTGTTTCATTGGTGAGGTATGGTTATAGAATTAGTCCCCATAATCTCACCTCCAAATCATAACAGAAAAACTCCTGTATTGGGAACATCAAAAAAGCTCTGGTTATATAATTATTCATGAGTGATCATTCACTCTTGCATATGTCTGACCATTTGGGCAAGCATATGGTGCTATGACTTTTCCTCCCAAACTCCAGTTTCTGCAGAATGATAAATACACAATGTAAAGCACTGCACTCAGATGAACTGTGGAAGAATTCCAAGGATTTGTATATAGTCATAGTCAACATAAAGTGACAATTTCTTGCATGAAGGTTATCAACACATCTGTTCACATACACACACTCTCACAATCTTTTTTATAATCATGTGCTTTTAAAAACTAAACCATAGGTAAAAGAAAGAAAATAGTAAAGAATAAGAAGTAATAAAACAGAAAACATAAAGTCAAGATAATTAAACCAGAAAGTCTTTTAGACAATAAATTAAACAGATAAACCTCTAAACAGATTTATATGGGGGTTGTAAGGGCAATGACTCAAACTATCAATATCAATAAAAATAGTACACAGATGTTAAAAAAAGAATAATTAATTGGAATGAGAGCTTTTGAGGAAATGTGGGCAATAAATATATTCAGTAGGTTCACTAAGGTAATGATTTTAGGGATAAATACATATGACAAAATGTATCACATAATATATTTTAGATTACTGTATATCATTTATCTTTCAATAAGGCTATCTTTAAAAAAATAATTTTAATAATATAAGACAATTCTTAATCCATTTATTCCCAGAAAGGTACTATATGATATCACACAAGAAGTTACAAAAGTTTAAGTGTTAAATCTGGTATATGAAAATCTCTCACAATTCTACCAAATATATGATGTTAGTCTCTCTACAAGCTAATTAGTTCTCGCCAAGTTATGGAGAATGTGTTTTCCTTATCAAAACCAATTCCCAACCCTCACCTGCAGAGCCACTATTCACTCTCCGAAACTGATTTTCTCCTAATCTTGTTTTCCTATCCTGTCTCAGTGAAGCTTTAAATAGTAAAACCAAAATGAAAGGCCCTTCACTGTTTCAGAAATTAAAAAAGACTGTAATTGCACGGCCATAAACAGGTTCCTGTTGTTCTCACTGACCTGAGCTGGCTTGCTGCAGGTGACACCGTGAATTTCCAAGTAGCTGAATGTTAACTCGAGCTGCAAATGAGAAAAGAAGACAAAGACCAGTAATGAGGATTTTAAACCATATAATTCTAGGTAAAAATACTATCATTACAAAATAGCAAAGATCAAATATAATAATGGGCAGTTTCTGATTTATTCCATTCATTCAGTGAGACGTAACATTGACTTTTATCATACACTTGCAGGGGGAAAAATGTTAATGAAAGATTGAAAAGAAGTCACATATCTGACTTTTTAAAATGCCATCCAGGAATACACCCAGTTGAAAGAGTAAGACTTTTATACTTGGACTCTAGAATTTATGTAGAGTATGTATTAAGTTAACCATCATACCAGCATTTGTTATCTGCTGTTCTTTTAAATTTTGCTATTCTTACTGGGGTGAGAGGATATCTCATAGTTGTTTTGATTTGCATCTCTCTTAGAGATAGGGATTTTGAACATTTCTTCAGGTAGTTGTTCACCATCTGAATGTCTTCTTTGGTGAAGTGTCTGTTCATATCCTGCACCCATTTTGCAATTGGGTTGCTTACCTTTATCTTGTTGTGGTGTCTTTTTTTTTCTTTTTTATGACAAAATTTTGCTTCAAAATACCACACCAGCATAAAACTAATGTTGATTTTCCTCATCTCCCTAAATCCTTTCTCATTGTGCCATACTCACAATAATCACAGGAGTGATCTGTTATTCTTTCTACCAGTTTCTATTAAAAAATCATATTCATTTGTTTGGCTTTAGAAAAACACAATACTTAGGAATTTCAAACTATGCTTAAATGAAATCACACATAAGTTAAATAAAAACCCCTCTCTCTGCATGTAAATAAATGATGAGAGTTATTTCCTTCCTGTGAAGGGTCTCTCCTCTATTTTCCTGTCATCAGCATTTTTTAACTTCAAAACAACTCTAGTATCTCACTCTCTGTCTTTTTTTTCCCTGGATATTTTCCCTAGTTTTGCTTTCTTTCATTCTATTATACCAAAGAGTCATCAGACATAATACTGGAGACAAGTAGGAAATAGATTAACTTGAATCAGTTTCTTTTACCTTGCCCTAGTGGACTAACAAATGTAATAGGGACTCATCCAGAACAAATCCAGGAGCCATGATGAAGTGATCATAACTAAGGACTTATAGGAGAAAGAGGTTATAGGGAATAGAAGAGATGCACCTGCTAGTGGAAAACAGGAAGTTGATGATGGGGCCAACAAAGAGGACAAAACAGAGAGGAAGAAAATGACTATGAGAATGCAGAGGCAACTAAGAGTAAACTGGAAGCTGAAGAGGAGGAAGAGGATAATGCTGACACCAAGTGGTAGAAGGCTCATGAGTATGGTTGTTGTTGTTATGTGCCATCGAGTCGCTTGTGACTCATAGTGACCCTATGCACAAGAGCCTTAAATGCCGTTCTATCCTTTGCCAACCTCGCCGTCCCAAACACACTCATTCCCACCACTCCACTCACAGAATCGATTCATCTCATCGAGGGTCTTCCTCTCCTGCACCGTCCCTCCACTCTCCCAAACATGATGTCCCTCT